GTAGTAGTAGTAGTAGTAGTAGTAGTAGTAGGAGTAGTAGTAGTAGTAGTAGTAGTAGTAGCGTAGTAGTAGTAGTAGTAGTAGTAGTAGTAGTAGTAGTAGTAGTAGTAGTAGTAGTAGTAGTAGTAGTAGTAGTAGTAATAGTAGTAGTGGTAGTAGTTCGGAGAGCCTAAGAGGCTCTTCGGAGAGCCCAAGAAGCGCTTCGGATGCCCCAGGAGGGCCTTCGGAGGCCCCACGAGGCTCTTCGGAGAGCCCAAGAGGCTCTTAGGCGGCTGCAAGAAGGTCTTCGGCGACTTCAAGGGGCTCTTCGGAGAGCACCAGAGGCTCTTCCGAGAGGCTCTTCGGTGAAGGGGGGGGGGGGGGCGGAGCCTTTTTGAAGCCCCCCCCTTCACCGTATCTGATAATTAATTCACTCCGGAGGACCCCTGGCCATACTAACACCCACCGGGCCGCAGAAGCAACCAACGGGCCGCAATAACACCTTATTTCCCGCACAGGCGGCGCCAGCGGGCGGCACCAGGGAACACCTCGAGGAGGAGCGCATCCAGGCCGCGCAGGAGCCGCGGAGCCCGCCCGCTGTCGACGCCAGGCAGCAGGGGTATCCCAGCTTGTGCTGCGGATCGGGCGGCAGCCGCACGGAGGAGGGCAGCCCGATGCCAGTGGAGCTCGGGGCGCGGGGCGGAGTGATCCGGACGAGCGGGGCCATCCTCGAGCTTCCAGAGGGCTTTGGGCCCCCGCCTGGCCTCGTGGCGCCCCCGGGCATGCCGCCATGGGTTCGGCGTGGACCAGGCGCCGCCCCGGTTGACGAGACCCGCGCAGGCTCCGACTCCTCGTGCACCGACGAGGCTGCTGAGCCCCCTGGGCCGGCGGGCTGGCAGGAACCCGCACAGGCTGCGTCAGCGGGCGGCAAGGCAGGGGAGCCGCAGGGGAAGGTGCAAGAGCTCACCGACGATGCCCTTGGTGCCCTTCTGCGGCTCTGGAGCCAAAGCGAGGCAAACGGGCAGAGGGGCCTGGCGGCGACACTCATCGCGCAGCCGTTCCAGCTCCAGGTCGAGGATGTCGTCATTGGCCGCAAGGCGCCGCACGATCCAGCGCAGGCTCGACTGCACGCAAGAGTGACCCCTCTGCGAGAGCGACCCTCGGTGCGCGGCTTTCGGGGGGCGCGGAGGAGGGGGGCCCACGCGCTCAGGCCGCTGCTGCCGCGTCGCGGGCAACGATCGGCGAAGCGGGCTTCGGGTTTGGGGCCCTGAGGGACGGGGCCGCAATGTCAGAAAGGGTTTTCAGGCTGGATTCACACTGTTCGAGCCGCCCAGGGGGCCACCGCTGCGCCGGGGTCGCTCCTGCGCGTGTCCGACAGGCCGCCGCCGCCGAGGCGGCGCCCGGGCCCGTGGTTGCGGCGAGGGGCCGCGCGGCGTTGGCGCTGGGCCCGGGAGGAACATGGCTTTGTTGAGAGTCTGGCAGGCCGATTTGCCCGGCATTTTGCCCCCGCCTCCCTCCCCTCCTCCCTCCCCTCGACCTCCACCCTCCGAACCTTCCGCGCAGCAGGTGCCGCCGCGGAGCGGCCGCGGCGACCGCCGAGACCGCCGCTGCGGCCTCGACTGGCGGCCGCCACTGCGGCCGTGCTGGCGGCGGCCGCTGTGCGGCATCTGCCGTCCGAAAGGTGAGGGAGGTGGAGGTCGAGGGTCCTTTCTCCCCCCACCTCCCCTCCCCTCTCCCCCTCTTCCCCCCCTCCCCTTCCCCCCCTTCCCCATACTACTCTCCTCTCTCCCCTGACTCTGTCCGGAAGATGTTCGGCCCCCCTCCGCGTATTGTTTTTTTACACAGGATTCCGGCGAGTTGGTCTTTCATATGTTTTTTTGCACAGCCGTTTCTTTCTGGTCCTTCAAAATGTTGCTCCCGCTACAGCGCTGGTCTCATTTTCGGGTTTCCGCTCGTTCCAACACGTGCTCCCGCTGCAGCACTGGCCTCATTTCCGCGCTTCCGCTCGTTTCCAATCACGCTCCCGCTGCAGTGCTGGCCGAATCGTGCTCCTGAGCATGGCATGCAATGCAATGCTATGGTGTGTTCCGCTGTGCGATGCCATGCCTTTAGCTGCAATGCTATGATATGCAATGCTTCACTTCGCAGTGCCACTCCATGCTATGTCATTTTACGCGTTGATCTTAAACGCCATCTTCTGCCATATAATGCTATGCCGTGCTGCGACACCCGACTGCGCGAATAGAGAGGATATCTACGCCATGGTAAGGGATCGGAGGGAGGGGTAGGACATCGAATAAGACGCTTGCGCACCTAGCTTGCCTTCCCCTCCCTCCCCCAACCCCCCTCCGCACTTACACAATATGAATCCTTCCACTTCTCTTCTCCCCGAATAACGTAAAACAGTCGCCCGCCCCCCTCCGCGTCCTGTTTTATTCGCGCCCAGGATTTCAAACACTGCTGTTTCCCATGTTTTGCTGCATGTCCGATTTTCTCTGGTAATTCATAATGGTGCTCCCGCTGCAGCTTGGGCCTCATTTTCGGATCGGCGCTTTGCTTCCGTCGTTCAGAGTGGCACTGTCGCCCCAGCGCGGGCCATTTGTCTGGATCCGAGTCTAGCTTCATTGTGGTCCCCGCCTCATTTCCTCTTCACCGCCTTCTCCTGGTCCTCCTGTTCCCCCCACCCCTTCCACTTCAGTTCCTGCTGCTGCCGTTCGTCTCGCCCCAGCGAGGGCCACTTTCCTAACTCCGAGCTTTTCTCCATCGTGGCCGCCCCCATCATTTCCCCTCCTCCGCCTTCCCCTGGTCCTCTTTTCTTTCCTGTGTTGCCGCTTCAGGTCCTGCTGCTGCTGTTGCTGCTTTTCGTCCGCATCCTTTTTCCTGCTCATCCTCCTGCTCACCCGCCACCTCCTCCTCCTCCTCCTCCTCCTCCTCCCACGCATTTCTTCCTTTTTTTTTCCGGTTGCGTATTCCACGAAGTGGT